TGGAGTTGCGTAGCGTAGGTCAACTTTCGGTGGTAGCGTAGACATAGCCTTATACCAGGGGTCGGCAACGTTCGGCACACGGCTCACCAGGGTAAGCACCCTGGCGGGCCGGGCCAGTTTTATTTACCTGCTGACGCAGCAGGTTCGGCCGATCGCGGCCCCATTTGACACCTGCCCACCTTGCCATAGAATACCATAGAAAGGGCTATTTTTGTACAGATGTGCAAAACATTGGTGGATCACTGCTATCAGTATGGGCTGGTCAGAGAAGGTGAATGACGTGTGCAACTTTAACAGCAGAGGTCTTTTCAGACATCTGCAAGCAGGGGCATTCTTTCCTGAGTGGTGGATTACCTTTGGGAATATTGAAATGCCAGTAGTGATTCTGGGACCCAGCCTATCTCTTGCTCTCCTGGGCTCATGAAGCCATTCACTGGCCACCTCAACAACACAAGGAAAGATTCAAATAACGGCTCAGCAGGCACAGAATGATTCTTGAATGTGCTTTTTGTAGACTGAAGGGATGCTGATGTTGTGCACTGGCTAGATTGGTTATAGCTGCCTGTTGTGCCCTGCATAATATCTGTGAGACAAAGCCCCAGCTACAGTAAGTATGGCCTACCAGGGGCTGGGGGAGGGGGAAGGATTTCTGTTGCATGAAGCAATACAATTTCAGTCCGGATTCCCCAGGTATGAGCAAAGGGCACTGAATATTGGCACTGTTTTCCACAGGCAGTGGTGCTTTTAGCTGATGAGGGTAACAAAAGCAGAGAGCACACAGCTGCTGTTTGGTATGCCAGGCTCATATGTCACTAACTTGTTTACTGCAATGGTGCCAGCTGAACTCATCGCAAAGTGGCGTGGAAAAGTGACCTACCGTGGAGGAAGAAATAAGGCAGCCTTCCTTATTAGAAAGCGTACAAACTTTTGGGAGAAGATTGCAGAGTATCTCTATGAAAGTTTAATCGAGATTCTCAGGAGGGTGAAAGGGACATCCCCATGTACATAAACAAACTGCTCCACATGCCCCTCCTTCACACCCAGCTTAATCCTACAGGAGAATGAAAAGCACATGCCAACTCTACCTCTCTTTGTTGTACCTCTACCTCTTCTAATATGAATAAAACAATTAAAAGTCAGTACCTCTGCCTTGTTAAGGGAGCATGGGCTGGGCGCCATCCTTAAATTTAACCATTGTAAGGAAAGACACATGCACACACTTACCTGAGGTCCCTTCCCCTTCATCAGGCTCATCCATGCTCACCTGGAGGGACTGGCTAGCCTGGGGCAGTCTCAAACAGGTCCTGGCTCGTGATATGGCTGCAGCCTCCTGCCATGTCTCTCCCCCTCTTCCTCCGCCTCACTGTTCACAGCAGGGGTCTCTGTCTGGGACTCCTCAGAGGTATCCATGGTGCTGTGCTGGGTACTGGGGGTATCTCCACCAAGTAGGACATGCAGTGTGTTGTAATAGCGGCTGGTCTCTGGCTCAGCACTAGATCGATCGGTTTCCCTGGCCTGGTGTTATGCCTAGCCAAGTTCCTTTGCTTTCACACAGCGCTGCTGCTGATCCCGGTCATACCCCTTTGCCTGCCTCCCCCACACACTCTGCTCATATCTGTCCACGTTACTACGGCTGGTCCATAGTTGTGCCTGCACAGCCTCTTCTCACCACAGGCCCAGGAGATCCAATACCTCCTATCTACTCCTGGCAGGACTGCGTGGGGCCAGCCTGTTGGTTGGACGGTTGCACAGAAAAAGGAAGAGCTGCTAGGTGTGCTTGCCACTCTGGGCAACCAGGAAAAGGCATTTTAAAAACAAGCAGGAGGCTTGAAAGGAGGTGAGGGGGTAGCTTCCAGTCTCCAGGACAGCAGAGTTTACAACTGAGACCAGAGCGGTCAATGTCACAGGGAATGTGGCATTCTGGGACAGCTGCTGGAGGACTGTTAGGGTTCTCACAGGTCACACAGCACCTACATTAGCACTCCACTAACCTCAGTGGATTGACCATGGCTCCACGCTGTTTGAGGAGATGGTTTTATTGCATTGCCATAACAGGGTGTGTACGTCATCCAAAGAAATTTGAGCATAGATACATGCACAGATAGGTTGACACAAAGCGGCTTACGTCAACCTAAATCTGTAGTGTAGATCAGCCTAAATAATAATAAAGCACTTATTTAGGATCTAACAGAGACTGTCTCTTCCTTTCTGTCCCCGATACAGTCTTCAGCACTTTGCTGCTGATCAGAGTTCCTCCTGTATAAACTATGGGCCAAATTCACGCCTGTGTGTGTCGCCATTGATATAGGTGGAGCAATACCAGGAATGAATTTGGCCTAGTCAGTTATAATTCAAACTAAGAGTTCAAGAGGTGAATGACAGCAGCAGCTTTAACATTTATTTTTGGTCCCCATGCCTTACAAAGAAGTTCCAATCAGTCACATTACCCAGGCCTTGCAGTTAAAAGAGGAAAAATCTCATTAAATATTCAAATTAAATATGCGTTAAAAAATAAAATGCTAATCGTAAATTGGCTCGGGTTTTATTTTTTTGGAAGCAGAGACACAGCACTGCATTCTTAAGCAAAGAGGATACAACGGCCTCTCAAAGACTGTCAGTGCCCAGAGGAAAAAGGGCTGGCAGTGTTCTCTAAATGTGTTTACTTCCCCACAGGCATTGTTTCCTTGCTCGTGTCACATCGTTTATTGAGCACAGCTAATCAATGTTTCCGCTGACAAGAAAACTGGAATAGTTTATTTAGGAAGCCAGTGTTCAAGGGCAAATTTCCCAGTCCACACAATTGAGACCTGGGCTCCTTCCATGCAAGCGACCCTAGTGAGAAACAGGTCCGCTTTCCCTTAAAGGCACCGGAATGCTCTCCCACCATGCCTCTTCCCAGTACACATCTAGTTTCCAACCAGACCCTTCCCTAACACAGAACAGATTCCCTCTGCAGATGCTTACTTCCCACAGGAGACCTACCTTCATGGCTTACCAACCACTCCCCTGCTCCCTTGCCTGTAAGCCCTATTGTCCTGACAAGAATCCCCCCAAGATTCATGCATTAACCATCGGAACAACTTACCAAGGATCAGGGTGGACTCTCCATCAGTGGCAATTTTTAAATCAAGATTGATGTTTTGCTAAAATATATGCTTCTGCTTCCAACAGGAATTCATTCAGGGAAGTTCTATGGCCTGCAGAGTACAGGTGGTCAGACTGGTTAATCATAATGGTCCCTTCTCCCCTTCTAACATATGAATCCTTATGAATCTTCTGGATGCCCTTTTCAATGACTATTTCCTCATTTTGTCTTCTGAGGTTGGCTGGTCCCTCCTCCAATCTAGCTTTTTAGATGGTTCCATTATTTCTCCCACCCCAAATCCAGAGCAAGAAACCAAATTCTTCAGGGAAAGTGTTGGGGTTCATGTCTTTTATAGGCAAAGCATAAGGAGAATCCCATCCCAATAGGTGCCATTTCCCTATATTGAGGAACCCCCTACAGCAGCTAGGCAGATGTTCCACAGTCCAGGGAAACCTTGTCCATTACAGCTGGGGTTTCTTGCACTGATAAAATCAACAAGCCTGAAATAAGTAATCAAACAACAAATATGGCCACCTCTCACAGCCTATTTGATTACAACTCTCTGCTATTAATAAAATGAAGCTGCATATAAAACGGGGATATATTTCCCACGGCCAACCTTTTTCCTTGTCGACAGTGAGGTAATTCCTCTTTGTCCAAAGCACCTAAAACTAGAATAAGCCCTAGAAAACAGCATAAGGGAGCGTGCTGCCTTGGCAGAAGTTGGACTAGATATCCTCGTGGGAATTTTGTATGATGTGTGTCTCAGCAGAAGTAGAAGTTTGGCTCTCAAGTCCTCTGAAGGGACAGTGTTGGTTATATCAAGGTTTATAAAACATTTTTCATAAGTTGCACATAGAATCATAGAATATCAGGGTTGGAAGAGACCTCAGGAGGTCATCTAGTCCAACCCCCTGCTCAAAGCAGGACCAACCCCCAACTAAATCATCCCAGCCAGGGCTTTGTCAAGCCTGACCTTAAAAACCTCTAAGGAAGGAGGTTCCACCACCTCCCTAGGGAACCCATTCCAGTGCTTCACCATCCTCCTAGTGAAAAAGTTTTTCCTAATATCCAACCTAAACCTCCCCCCACTGCAACTTGAGACCATTGCTCCTTGTTCTGTCATCTGGTACCACTGAGAACAGTCTAGATCCATCCTCTTTGGAACCCCCTTTCAGGTAACTGAAAGCAGCTATCAAATCCCCCCTCATTCTTCTCTTCTGCAGCCTAAACAATCCCAGTTCCCTCAGCCTCTCCTCATAAGTCATGTGTTCCAGCCCCCTAATCATTTTTGTTGCTCTCCGCTGGACTCTTTCCAACTTTTCCACATCCTTCTTGTAGTGTGGGGCCCAAAACTGGACACAGTACTCCAAATGAGGCATCACCAATGTTGAATAGAGGGGAACGATCACGTCCCTCGATCTGCTGGCAATGCCCCTACTTATACAGCCCAAAATGCCGTTAGCCTTCTTGGCAACAAGGGCACACGGTCGACTCATATCCAGCTTCTCGTCCACTGTAACCCCTAGGTCCTTTTCTTGAGCGAGAGAGATGATATACATTACACAAATGGTCCACAGAGACGGCTGGTCACATGTTATTAGTTCTTCTCCTCGTTACCAGTGGTTAAATCACTTTAATAGTAGCTAAAATATATTCAATATTTTCCTAAGGTAACTTTTTCCTGTAAGCCATTGCTTTTTGCCAAAGAGATGTTTGGTTATCAGGAGGAAGAGAGATGGTCCAAACAATCATTAATGCTAGGGGAGTTGTCCATGGACTATTTGGGAACCACTAGGGTAGATATGTTGCATTGCAATATACTCTCTGAATTGGACCAAAGTCTGATTTTTCACATCGCCCTTTGAGACAATCTAATGCTTTTCAAGCCTGTGTTGCTTCTTTCTACGTACAGGAGATGTCCAAGTTAGGCCTTGGTGAAAACATAGATCTACACATCATGCAACTGCCAGTGTCTTACCAAAAAGCAAAGGAGCTCGTCTGTAAAATATGGGGGACTCCTCAACCACTAGTGAGTAATTATATAGTTGAATTTTTTTTTTGCTTAAATTAAAATTGAACCAAATAATACAGTGTCTGTTCAGAAGGTGGATACAGCTTGCCCACTAGACATAGTCAGAAAAAAACAGGAGGGTGGAACTCCTGAGCGTGTGCCGAGAGGTAGGGTAGATGGACCAAAGAAACCCATTTGAGCTTTAAAAACCTCTCCCTCATTTCAGCACACGAAATAAAGGGTAATCTCTTCCAACCACCTGAAGCGATAGTGAGCAATGGGATATAATTGTGTCCCTCTGAGACAGGCAAAATGGACAATCAGGTCTTTGAAGGACATTGCTGTGGAGTGTTTTCATAGTATAGCCACCAAGAATATTAGTGCCAATGATCCTCTATATTTTTCACTCTGTGAACCACTTCATCAGAGACAGAGCCCTTACATGATCTCACGTTCTCCTCCCAACTTCTTACTGAGTGAAATAATATGAGAACCATTTTGTGGACCATCACCAAAGTCTTCATGAGCCACTGGTGAGCTATACCACTGGAAATAGTTATGCTGGCAACCTGCATGAGGAGGGTCTTTCCCAAAAGAAGTCATTCAGTTGCTAGAATGGCTTCTGACAGCTCTTACCAAGGATGGAGAGGGAAAGAGCATTTAGATCATGACCCAAAAGCGAACCTTAGCCAGACCACAGATGGACTCAATGCCTGTTTGTTCGGAGTGTGAGCTGTCGCAGAGGTAGCTGAATGTGTGAACAAAGCCAGTGTAGCTCTGGGCAACGAGCAAAAAGGGTGAAGTGCTGGATTCGGTGACAGTAGCTAACTTAAGCTCAGAAAAACAAACATGGAAAAATACATGGGGAGATGGGCATGCACATCTGAGAATGCATGGGTGTTGGAGGAATATTTCTCTGCTGTATCTAGTTTAGATGGGGTGGTGGTGGTGCATTGATACAGAATCCTTTGGTTCCTTCACAGCAATCAAATGACAGCTGAAGAGAGCCCTTTACGTGCTAAACAAACATCTCCTACACCCACAGTACATAGTCATCTATCTAGGTTCTTAGATGATGCTCATCATCAGGGTATTAGAGTGTGTAGCCTTACAGGACAGGATGACTGCTAACCATTACTCATTACATATCAGAGTCTCATTACATAAGAAATCTACCACATGAATGTTTGAGAAGTTTAAAGAAACAGCTATTGTTCAAGAGGTGAATGTACACACCTTAGATACATTTTGGGCAACTGTTTAATTTGGTTTTTACTGTATCCCCATAAAAAAAAATCTTCCTCTTATGAAAGGAAACTAGATCAACACAGAATGTCAGGCTTTTTAACAATGTTTTTGTGGAATAAATTTGAATCAGTTATATACATATCACTGCTAGGAAAAAATGTTTACACAAAAAAAATTAGAAAAGAAAATAGTTCATTATTGAATCTTGGGGTATTACATGGACTGGTAAAGTTGTAATTTTTTTTTAAATAGTTATGAAACGTGTATTTTACCCCCACTAAAGCATGTTCCTCTCAGTAGGCCAACTTTTAAATCAGGAGCACCTAATGAGAATTAGGAACATAAACAACAACTTCTGTCTAATAGTGATGCATTTATCTGGTGTCAAATGATTAAATGACACTTTGAAATAGTGAGGAGCATGATATAAAATATATACGGTGCTTAACTATGCATAACATAGTCCTGGCCTACAACCCATTGATAAATAGATTTGGGGCCAAATCTTGCAATCCTTGTGCATCCAAAACTTCTATTTAATGACGTTTTGGGTGTGCAAGAAACTCAGGATTTCAGCTCTAAAGGAAGAAATACAGCTGAAGTACAGAAAGTCTCTCTTATTCCAGCATTTTCATCCAATAGAGTATTTTAAAATGAGGCTTTTAAAAAAAATCCTCCTTTGCTTAATTGGGAAAACTACTTATTTGGAATAAAAAGCTGCTGACCGATAGCTTGATTAAGAGGCTTCTCTGTCCTGAGGGCAATATAATCTGGAGTGGGTCTTTAAAAACTCCCCAAAGTGTCTGTGTAAATCAGACAAGATTGTGGAGGTGCCGTTTAAAGTGTCAGCTAAAGATTTATGATGAAAATTGGTGCAACTCGATGCATATACTAATGAGGAAATACTTTAGCTTTTAACAACGCCGCTGTATGCAGAACAGTGGAAAGAACTGCTGTGAGTTACAAGAAGGGGCTGCGTATATCCTTGTGCTGGTTTCCTAATCTGACTAGATAAAACAAACAACGAAAGTCCAATTTTATTCTGCATTACAAAGGGTCATCTACGTTTTCTGTAAAGAGGAGCTATAAGTAAGACACTCCAACTTGGAGCTGCTATTTCATAAACTGCTTGGCGCTACTGCATTGGATGTTTTTAAAAACAGGTCTGTCATTTTCATTTCCTGTTATTCACTCTGATGGGGGCAAAAAAACAGCTCACTGTTCACATTGGACTTGCTTCATCCTCCAAAGCAATCATCCTTGAACAGTGTGGGAAGAACAAAGGCTACAGAGAGATGGATGTTTGTGGTTTTTGCCCAGAAGATGGCTGTTGTCTGTTAGATGGCCCAGAAAAGATTGAGTCCACGATTAATATGAAAACTCTCTGGAAAAACATTTCGGTGGAAGGGATTGATATCGTCTTTTCCAGAGATGCAGGAAGGTAAACACATTATTAGTGGGAGAGGATATTCAAGAATCATTACAAGTACTTGCTCCCCCACCAACACACATATCTACTTAAAGTTAACAGTCACAGGTGTGAAAAGGACACAAGGGACTGAAAATTTAGAGTGATGATTTGCACAAAAAGTAAGGCCAATAGAAATGTTTCCTTGAATTTGTAAATTCCAGTAGAAATGATTTTTAAAACAAAATATGACAGTGACCCAATTTTTTCAGCACTGTGCGAGATAATGAGAAAAAGATTCTGACTAGCCACTGACTTTAATTCACTTTCATTGTCCAAATGGAGCGAGGCGGACAAAAGGTGAATGAGCAGCCTTCAGAATAAACAAATTCATTTTAAAAATTTTTCTTTAAAAAAAAGGTGTCTATGGCAACTAACAAATTTTTTAATGTGATTCTTTTACCAATCTTTAAAACAACAAACGAAACCCAGGATTCTTGAAGGTCAAAATTAGTTAGTTTTTATTTTCAGAGTGTTTGGGTCTCGGAGTGATGTGATATGAGAAAAGGGAAGAATTTATCCAGCGAGTATCTTACACACACAACATTTTTTGAAATTGTGCTACTTTTATGTAGGGGGCTGGGAAGTGTGTGTGTGTACGTACATACGTACAGTTGGGTAATTTTCCAATCTAATTTAGTTTGTGGTCTCACAAAACAATGCATGTATAATGATTTTTATTTTGCAAACGCTATTAAGTGGGTGTCCATCAAATCAAGCCAGCACTCAAGGAATGTTTGTTTCTCAAAGTGTTTTTTTTTTGTTTTTTTTTAATTTCCATTTTTCCTAACACAAAGCACATAAACCAAATCTGGCTTAACTGCTTAAACTGTGTTTAATTAAATCAAAGTCTAGCTTTTCTTAATTCTGTCCTTTTTTTTTTTTAATGTTGTAGGTACATCTGTGATTATACCTATTATACCTCTCTGTATTATGGTAATGGAAGAGCAGCTTTTATACATGTGCCACCATTATCCAAATTGGTAACTGCAGACTTTCTAGGAAAAGCACTACAAATAATTATCTTAGAGATGTTAAAGCAGTGTGGGGAAAAGAATGAATAAAAAGGATGGTTTACAGAAGACATGCAAGTTTCTCAGAATACAGTAAAATTATTTTAACCTTCCTCTGAGGCAACCCTTAAGATTTAAAAACAAAAAACAAACAAAAATTACATCGCATGGGAGGGCAGAATTAAAATATGTTCCAAAATCCTACAATAACTTTAGCAAATTTTTCATTACATAAAAAACAAGTAAAACAAATTACAAACAAAGGAAGAAATGTAAACAATCTTTTAGGGGAACGCCAGTGACTGGTGACTTATCTTGCTAATGGTAACAAATTTGCTTCTGATTTAGGATAAAAGGAAAATTCTCAAGAAAATGGTATTTAAAAGGCTACCTTGCTCAAACCCCAAAGACTTGTGAAATGTCAAGATACAAATTGCTTTAAAAAGCACTTTGAAAGTTTGTTCCTGCTGTCCGATATGCAGGTAGACTTCGTATAGCTTACATAATAAATTGCAGTGATGTGCATGATTATGACCATACAAAATTATAACTTCATATACACACAAGGGAGAATTTTATCCCCCGAGCCCAGGAGACTAGATCAGCCATACGAAAGCTCTCATTTGTGGAAAATCACATGCAATGCTCCCATCTTGTGGGCCTTTAAAATAACCCCACACCCACAGCAGTTTCCCTGTATGTGCCAAACTACTGTCCCCCCCCTCAAAAACCCACAAAGCTTTTCAGTGGTGACCCTTGCATTTGCTTTCAGGATGCATTAGCAGGAACCACCTTTGAAAGGCTTAGTGTGTTTTTAGGGAGAGAGCTGTCATTTGACACGAAGGAGATGGTATCACTTCCTGCTGGTATTGTGCGCCTGCGCATCCAAAGCAGACTGTAAACGTCTTTTGATGAATTAGGGATTACAACCGAAAATGGATTTTTCCAATTTGGCAACAACAACAATTCAGTTATTAAGCTGGATTTTAATCACAAGAAAAGAACACTTACCCCATGCTCTAGGTGTCCATGCTGTCAAGGAAAAAGGCAATATTTATACACAGTACAGCACTGGGGAAGAGACTCCCAGGTCAGATGGTCCCAGGCCATTCAGAGCTTTATAGATCAAAACCCAACAGCTTACGTTCCCACAGGAAGGGCAACTCATGGAGCACCAGGGCTCCATGCTTTGTCGGGGCAGACTATCCCATTGAAAAAGTAGGCTGGCTGCATTCTACTCTAGTTTCAGCTTCTGAATGGATTTAAAGGTGTCATTTCTCAAAATGAGTATTGCTGGAATCCAATCTCACACCAATAAAGGCACAGATCACGGTAGGACCGTCTGCATGTAAGAGAAAAGAATGACCTTTTAGCCATACTGATGGAAAGCGGAGTCTTGGTCACTGCTGCCGTTAGATCATCAAAAGCGGCTGGGAATCAAACCAGAATCCTTGGTAACGAACAGTGACATGTTTTCAGCCAAATCCTTTCACTGCTCTCATCCACAGACAAACACGTTAAAATACACTTCCATATTCCATTCTCTGGACTGGACGGGACACAGGCATGAAGTAGGATGTCACTGTTGCACTCAAAGCACCTCAGCCCATATTCTCCTTGGTAACCTCAGTAATGGCTTCACATTCACGCTGAATAATAAGAGGGGAGACCGAACAGCCATTGGGACGGGAGAGGAATCACGCAACTGGACCCTTTGGGATTTCTTCAAAGGAAAGATATGGGAACAACCTAAAAGCAGGCCCAACCCTCACATCTGGTACCATATCAACACCACCTCAGTGACAAAGACAGCAGATAGATATATCAGCACAGAGGCCTGATCTTTATCCAACTCCAAGCTATGGTCGTCATGCCGTAAGTGCAGTCTGTGTGTCGTAAACCCTGAATGACAAGGGTCAAATGCATGAAGATACCAACAGCTGTCTTGCCATAACCTTTTCCATAGTCTTAGTAGAAAATGCACTCGGGTACTGGTTGATTAAAATTAGACTGCCTGGGTCTAGAGATGGCTGTGAGCAGTGGCTGGACATACGCTTCCTTCAAAGAAATCAGCACCTTGCCTTCTTCAAAGAAGCCTACAACCTCCACAAGTAACGGACTCAAAGTCTCCTGGGGCTTCAACAATCAAGCTCAGTGACACTGTCTGGAACTCAAACAGGGAAGGCCTAGCATTTATACACTAAACGGATGTGATATCTTAAAACTGACCTGTCCTGCAATACAGGAATATTTTAGTTAGCCTGCCCCCTACACAGTTTTTACGTTTAAAAAAAAAAAGCTATCCACTACAGGAGAGGTAGAATTTTTAGTTTTCTGGGACTATACTTTCTTTGCTTAAGTTCGGGCTAGCAAATAACAAAAATCAGAAGACAGACAACTGCATACAGAATTATTTTATTTAACTTAAATCATGTAGTACTGTAACTACTAGAAAAAAGCAGAGTAAGAGAAACTAAAGGAGCCATTCAAAATAGACAAAGTTTCTTTTTTTCATAATGTAAAGAATCCAGAGTATATCGCAATAACAGGAATAAATTCTTACAACAGAATATACAAAAACATTTTGAAATTTTTTTTTTATCTACTGATTCATTTTAATATAAACACAGGAATTTCTTTAGGAATAATTTATACACAGCAAGTCTTTTTTAATGTAATAAATTGGCCATGTTATTACTGTTTTAATTTTTTTTTAAAAAAAGCTTTTTTAAACAAGAAAACTTGGTAAATGTTGTATTTGCAAATGCATCAGTTCCATAGCGCTTTCTAGTTTTGCTTTTGTCCCAGAGGTAGACAAACTCTGGCCAATCCTTTCAACTCAAACCTCACTGGTTTAGAAAACAGAAAGATAATTCTCAAAGGCATCTAAACCATCCATAATCTTCAAAAGGTAGGGGAGGAGAAATGTTCAGTCTAATTTGGAAAAAAAAATAGGATCTTCGGTATTCTTATTTAAATAAAAATAAATAGGGACCCTTCCTTGTTCATCTCAACAAAGCTCTAATGATGCTAGATATCCACATAAATTGTATAGGCTGCATACAAAACCATCGTATTTGAAGTGATAAGAAATCTGTAAACATAGTTTTCTTTAATTCAATGATAACTATGAAAACTGCCTTTCATCATGCTGTCTATTACACAGTCACATCCTTCAACCCTCCTGGCAACAACAAGAAAAAACGGTACTGAATAACACAACTAAGACTGCTTAGCAGCAATACCTATTCTGTTTCCATAACCAATGAGGTTCTTTCAATCCATTAACTGCACTATACAGTAAAGTGAAATGACCAGTTAAGATGATCCCACCCCAACCAGAGGGTTCTGGAAGACCAGGATACTGAAGATACAGAACATTTTCCCAACCTCTTTATTTACTCATTTACTGTACACCGGGACACAAAGCTTGGGGGAAAAGGGATGAACCATGAGCTGGACAAGTTAATGATCCTTTTTGGCATATTGTAAAGCTAGCTAGTAAACTGGTGCCATCAAAAAAAAAAATGAGCATATACAAACACACACACGAAAGTGCCTTTAAATTATTTTATAGGCATTTATAAACTACAAACATTTTATAAAATTATTCTATGTATTATTATTCCATGTACTACAAAATGCAATGAAACATTTAATTAGTTCTTGTAAACCAGATCTCTGTCAACTGACTACCCGTAATCTACTGGACTTAAAAGCCCTATTGAAAATGCTAATGGATTAACTAATCAACATAATGCATACAAAAAAGGTGACCACGTGCACATGCACACATACTATTGATAGTCATATGGTACTTGCAAACAGACTGACTGAGAGCTGATGCACAGCAATTCATATTGACCAATGACCTCTGTAAACCTCCTGGTAATGAATTTTCCTCCACAGCTGGGAAATTAAGAGGTTTATTTACAAGTACCAAATGATTAGAATGATGATGCCTGAGCCTCGATGCCGTTCCACATACCAAGCTCTGGAACTATCGCTAACTTCTGCCAAGCCCCGTGTCTTTGTGAATATGCTTTTCCATCCTTTGTTCTCATCTCTCCGCCCTACCATTCTCAATTCCAACTCACCGGGCTGAGTTTCTTAAAAGTAATCTAAACACCTTTACTCAGAACAACCGGTCTTCTGGATCGAGGCACTCGCTGAGCCCCTGACTACCCACAGTTCTGTATCTTCAGCACCTCTGGCAATTAATGTTTAATCTGCATCATCCTTTATTTGTAAGTATTGTTTGCATCAACTACGTAGAGTGGAGCTGCAATATCCGGCTTTCACTGGTTAATAAGGAGTGGATCTCTTGCACTTTCCCCCATTGTTGCTTAGCCCAGTGATTAAATACATTGTTGATAAACAAAATAAAAAGAGTAACAGAAGAAAGTGTTACTTGTACTACTGGAATGAAAAGGGTTTTAAAAATATACATAGATGTATACCAACAACAGGAGCATCATTCATTTAGGCTTGGATTGTACTTAACAACCCTCAGCAGTTCCCAGAGGATCTAATAGCAGTTCCATCTGGTGACCAGTCATCCTGGGCAAACTGGGCTTTTTATTGACACCAACAGGAGCATCAGTGCAAACAAATCTAGAGTCAGACATCACTTAGAACCAGCTTTAAAGAACCGAGGCATCACACCGAGAAAGAGGCTTGGTGGAACATATGCTGGCCTCAAGTTTTGCATCATACTTGGCTTCTGTGTCTAGTCTATTACCCCAACAAAAAGAATATCAGATTTAGTACCAAGCATGTGATGCTTCTGTATTTATACAATAGTCACCTTCCTTTGCAACCAAACCACCTTCTGTACCACTGAAAGATTGAACAATGAGAAAATCAGAGGAAAAGAATGGCCCAAATACTTAAATCAAAGTTTCTTGCTCCCTTAGTGATGCCAATTTGTTATTGGTATCTTGGTACCATTTGTCAGAATGCTTGTTTTGTGGGTTGGGTGGGTTTTTGGTTTTTTTTTCAATCATGCTCAGAAATAGGATTACTACAGTTTTATTCAAACACAGCTGAAGTTCTAAATTCTCCATACCAGCAAGCCAGTGGTCTCTCAGGAAAAGGAAGCATTACACGCCATTTTATGCCAATATCAAGCCATTAATTCACCGTTGTTCAAATGCACAAACAATGTTATTTACTGTCAAAGGGAGGTCTGCATGAAAAACCCATGTGGATAAAGCTATTCAGAATGCACAACACAACAACAACAAAATGCTGTAGAAACCAATACGGAATTAGGCTAGAATTGTGAGCAGAAAATACAATGGTATTGTTAAGGTGGTTTGGTCCCAAGAGAGCTGACTTTGTCATCACACATGCATACTTTGTTTAGTCACATGACTGCCTTTCATTTAAGTGCTTTTGAAATGTTTATCATGATGGGGTACTATATTGTTAGTGTTTTTACCTAATATTTTTTGTAACCACCTACATAATTAAAAAAAAAACATTAACTTGGACAGTTTTAACAAAACCCTCATAGCCAGCTGAAAGATCTGAGGATCTCCAGTTGTGGAAATCAATATGTGCAAGAGAGAGGAGCAGTCACTACACCAAAAGGTCACTGTCAAATTAGGGAAATTAAAAAACAAAAAGGAAACCCAGTCAATCTGAAATGTTGTTGGTTTTTTCTGGTGTTAGGGAGAAACACTCCCTCCAAAGACAAACTCTGTCGTACTTAACCGCAGCACTGTATATTCAAGAGGCCATGTACATCTCAAAGTAGCCAAGCGCCATATTATTCAGATACCACAACTAACACCTGCATGAACAGCTGCCAGAATCAGAAAAAGAGAAACATTATACATCGTGTTAATGGCAGGCTTGTGTTATGTTAGTACTGTACGCTTGTAAACCAGTTAAGCACTGTCAGAGGGAAGTCAGAATTTGACGGCTGATCCGTCAGAAAATCCAGAGTGATGAAGTATGCGTACAGAGGGGGTTGGGAGGGACTGGATTTCTACTGGCACATTCAAATTTCCCATTAAATGTTTAGTTTTGAGAAATCAGGGCTCTTGCCAAACAGAAGCAGCAAAAGTAAAGATCCCAAGTTGTAAACTCAGTGTAGTGTTATCAGGTAGCCTGTGACATTTTTTGCCCTGTTTGATTTGGTCAAGAAAGCAATACTACCACTGTATGCTCCAATTTATTTTTAGGTATTGATTCAGTCAGATGTCCTTTGGGTGCTTGTGGCATCTGAGAAAAATTGGCAAGAATGACTTAGCCCACTCTTAAGGATTAACAGAAAGGCCGTTTATTTCATTCTAGCAACCCTAGACCTTCAAACAATTAGCTTCCATAATGAATTTGACCAAATATCATCATCCAATCCCCTTCCAGCAGTCCACTCTGTCCCAAATCAGCAGAACATAATGTTTTCTAGACCATGACTGCAATGACAGTGCATTTCACAGCTTCCGAGACTCCTTAAAGAATGGTGGTCTTAAGTCAAACGATTCTCAGGTGTGTCTCTTCCCCTCCTCCCAACATACATCTTAAAAATGCTACCAAGAAAAGGGCAAACTGCTATAAAATAACATGAGAACAACCCTCTGAAGTGACCCTTTGGGAAACGTAGCGACCGCTTCTCTCCAAAACCTGGAGTATGTGGTTTGTAGAGTGAGTGAGAAGTTACCAGTATCAACGGCATTTCTATCGGCTGCTGAGAAATGTGAGATGTATTTTTTTTATATATACACATATAAAAAAATAAGAGTGAGGTAGATAAATGTTTGAAAAAAATCAAAAACTGTCCCCCTGTCATACTTGAAAACCCTTATCTCAGTATTTAAATTTATTATGGGGCATCTCTACAGTGATTTAAACTGATATCACAAAAATAAATAAAAAAATCCTACATAGAATACCTTCTTAATTAACTTTTTTTTCTTTTTTTTTCTTTTTTTCTTTAAAGGGAAAAATAACTATGGGACAGAGGCAAGAGAAGATAGTGGGACCTAAAAACTACACAAGCAAAAAGCACTACAAACATTTTTTTTTTTAAATCTCCAGTCACAACGAGCAATCAGTATATTTCAATGCTTTGTTCTTACTCAAAAAAATTGAACATTTCCATCCCAGAACAACCTCTTTACTGCCATCATTTGGTTGGCTCAGTGCCAAACAAGGGGTTAGATGCTATAACTAACTTCAGATGAGCAACTATTATGGCTCCTTTGTTTTAGACTTACATCATGGCCCCCACCACACCCTCCTTAAACCCTGCCTCCTTGCCCTCCACATTCATAAAGCTTCCTCTGCCAAACAAGCAAGCTACTATTTCTCTTTTGTGCTGAAGTTTGGTCTATGGTTTGAGCAACAAGCTTGTATTTGTACAGGTTTCCATAGCTGCTCATTTAACTGTTTGCTAGCAAATCTGGTGGCCCCGACCCACTTAAGAGCGCGCACATCCTCCCTGCCTGATCTCACACCGCATGCTATCACCGAGGCTGCTGGCAAATCGGGGGATCTTGAACAAGGGGCAGCCCACAATGTGGCCTTTCAACATCTTCTAATGAGAAGGCCTAGTAGCTGGGGTCTGCTAGATCAGAACGTTGAATGGCCACCTACATCAAAACGCCTGGCACCGACAGCTCAACCGATGTAGACTAAACATAGCTGTTGTTCATGGGATGGAAGGGTTGAAATATTCATTTTAAAAAATAGAGACCCAAAAGCCTGGTGTCCGCTGTTGTACCCAACAATTAAAAAAATATATATATATGCGTGTGTCACAACCAAAACAAAAGGCAAGGGAAGGAGGGGGGCTGACTCTTGTACAACGATGAATATGAACACTGAACAAGAATGTACTCAATATGTAACCTTTTTTTTTCTGACCTGAGTTTGTATCGTGCCTTGCACTGTAACAGACTCGCGTGCTGCATGGGCAGAGGCTAGCGGAGGGAGGGAGGATAGGGTTAAAACCACCACAGCACCACTGGAGTGCTACTGGCTGTGTACCCCTTCTCCCCCAGTCCCTTCAAGAGCTCTGTATCCCACACAGCCAAGATGTTGTAAAACAACTAATGGGAAAAAAAGGAGGAAATGTATTTATAAAAAGGCATTAAACAGTTCATGGCAAATCATGTTACAGGGATCAGTTACTAGGAAGAAGGAAGTAAAAGTTACACACTATAGTACAAAGCATAAGAAATTTGTTGGAGTGGGGGGAAGGGAAGGAGGGCAGACCTGAAGGTTTTCATAGATTAAATCCACAAAGATAAAGAACAAAAAAAATAGCAGCTTTTTTCTGTACAGACATATAGATGAGTATCTGAACCGTAAAAAAGTTATAAAAGTGACACAAAAGACAATGTGTATGCAAATGATCCATGGTCTAACATAGAACTGCAAGACCCTTTGAGAAGTCTTAATAACAGAGAGAAAAGGTCAACAAAGCGTCATATGCTTGAATCCGTTACCACTTTTTGTCTTCTCCAATTTTTGTTTCGACATGTGTTTTCCTGCGAGCCTGAGAAGGAGGGCAGGCTACAACGATGGAGATTCTTCTGGGTCATTTCAGGCTGGCTTGCTGTTTTTGGCGTGCCATCAACTTTTTGCACGAAATATATATAAAAGAGAGAGAGAGAGAGAGAGAGAGAGAGAGAGAGAGTGTGTGTGTGTGTGTGTGTGTG